ACTCGCAAAAGTCACATTCTACTTGAAGAGTACTATGATTGATTGTATATTGTTTAACGCCCCTCTCGAAAATTTTTCAGTCATATGGAGACATCACCGTATGCCGGTTAAGGACTTCAAAATTTAACGTTTACTCGGCACTCGGTGCCATTGAGCAGTGAGGGATCTTTATCGTGCCAACGCCTGCCGCTGACACGGAACCTCGGTTTTTAAGGTCTCATCCGAAGGATCCGCAACTTTCACTTCAAAGTGCCGAGCGCATAGCGAAGGAACAATTGCTACCCATTTTTTATCGACTTAGGTCAGTCGCGACCGAGATTCGAACTCACGACCTCCCAATCACGGAGCGAGCGCTCTACCGACTGAGCTACCGTAAACGGTGAAGAGTACTGTAAGATATTTTAAGGTCAACATTTTCAATTATCATATTTCTGGAATATAAAAATCTTTTAAATTTATACCCTTCCTTATAAACACAAATACCATATTCAAGCATTTTATAAAATCTCGACACGTAATGTATTTGAGAGTTTTAATAACTTTACTATTTATAATCTTAATAGATACATGTTTTACTACTTTTTAAAACAACAACCCAGGTGCTTTCAAATTCTTATTTATAAAGAGAAGAGTTGATTAACTTTACAGGCCTAAAAATTTTCTTATAAAAAGAAACCAATAAAATTATTGTACATGTACTTCCCTTTAAATCTTGGATTTTTCCCATTTATTTCTTTTGAAATCACCATTCATTTATTCCATAACGAGCGTTAAGTTTCACTAATAAGAACGTTCTTCCCCAAGGTGAAACATTTTCAGGGAAACGAAAGTTGGGATTCTACATTTATTGCATGATAGTGGCGGAAATATTTAGATTTATTCAGCCAAAAAAAAAAATCCTATTCCTCGAGGGCTTCGCCCGGAGGGAATATGATATTCCTTGGCTGAAAAAATCTTTATGTTTGCCGAACATTCATGCAATGAATTGTTTATTATACCGACATAAAACCTTTGAAATAAACATAAACTTTCAAATTCCACAACACTCTCAATTTCACTTTCATTTTTTAACGCAAAGTTACTAAAACCCTTTGACGGCACTTATCATCAATCTTGTGACGTAAACCAGACTACTGTGACGTCTACTACTCTCGAGAGCTTTCTTTTAACGAACGAAAAATATTGCGGGAAAATGCACTAAGTATCCGAAGACGTGGAATATGATGAAAAGCATGCCGACGGCCGTGAAATATGAAGTTTTACGGCCCGATCACTTGATAACCTAGAACCAATCAGATACCACGTTGTGTAGAATATTTATAATGAGGTATAATAAATACTCTCAACTCCAATAGACCGAATGTTTCTCATGAAATTATCATCTGTTACTAATATGAAGGCTACACAACACAAAATTACTTTTCATATTTAGTTTAGTTATAGTGTAGAATAGGTCGAAATTTAACAATACTTTAATGTACTTAATTGAATAAAAAGCTTACCTTTGGTAAAGGGAGAAGTAATTTAGAATGAAATTTAAGGGGGATGTACAGCCATATTGGATGTTTTCAGGTCTAAATTAAGAAACACGAAGACTGGACTAAATACTTTCCCAATATGTCTGAAATTTTAACACAGTGATTATACACTTATACTGCATTGACTAATACCAAAATAAAAGATTAATTGCCTTTGTATTGTTTCTATTGGAGTATCATCAGTTACAATAGAACTGCGCAGCTGCAGCTCAACTGCAACATGGAATAACGTAATAATTATGTTCAATCGATTCATTAACATTATGGCTACAATCATTTGTTTTGTGTTTTTAATGTCAGTGAACCCTTTTCCCTCAAAGACACGATATCTAACATGGGGGGCTCGGTGACCGTGTGTTTTCGTGGTCAGCCATAACAAGTAGAAAAAACATGAAATTCTAAGTTTAACTTACAGTATGGTCTTTTGAAGTAGACATTTTATGGAATTGTTACTTTTTTGAAGGATCGTGCAACTTTGAAAAGTAGGATCGCACGTATGGTTAACGTACAAACGCATGTTGAATTTGTTGTAAAGCAAACCGGGAAAATTTCCTCCATTGGTTTGTCTTCTTCGTCTGGTATATTACTCCGCTTAAAATCTAAACATTTGTTCTTTTAATATAGATACATCACAAACTAAAAAGTTTTAGAAAATATGTAATCAATATATTCTTTATACCTTGAATCATCATGATTTCGACGAAAAACCTTCAAACTTATCTTTACATGCGGTCTCTTTTTTCTTCGCAGTACCAGAATGTGGTATGTAAATCGTCCATTTCCGGGAAAGAAGAAAGAGTGTTTATGGTGAGTAAAAACATTAGTATTTATTCATGATACAAAGTGTTGATTTTCACATTACTTTCTCACAACAGTGCATCATCATGCGATATTTCTTAAAACCATACAAGGTACGTTCGATTTTTCTTCGATCGTGGTAAACCGAGTAATATTTGTTGCCTATGCTTATCGAGTTATCTTCTCCTAATCATGTTTGTTTATATCGACTATATTTAAGTGTAGGCCCAGTAAGGTTTTAAGCTACTTATTTAAGAAATATTTTGAACTGAATGGAATGTTTAGTACTGATTAATATTTTTTTCTACGAACATAAAAGGTAAGTTTGTTATTTTCTTTTTAAAACGTAAATAATCTTTACAATATCAGTGATGTTACTCCCATAAGAGCCTCGCTAAAAAGTCTGTAGACTACAGTCTTGTCAAAGGTAAGATTCTCATGATTTTACGGAACAATGCAAGCGACATTGGTATATTCAGACGTTTTCTATGAGAGGAGGGTGATATGACTTTGGGCATGCTATGAAGTGCATAATTATTGAGTTCTGAATGTGTAACCTACAAAACCAGTGGATTTTATTGGATTTTGAGTGAACATAGTGAATTTGAGGGACATTTTGTTCAAGTGTTTACAGAGAAAGCATTTTAGATGACATGCATGCCACATTGTGTACTGTGGTCATGTCATGAAATAGGTACATTTTTATGAATGGACTACTGATAATGTAAGCAAGGGAACATTGCATTCATGGAATTATTGTGATTTTTTATATATCTTTGAATATTCACTAAATATGGGTAAACCAAAGCCAAGAAGAAGAAAGTTCAATGGGGCTACTGGACGGAACTCGCCTGTTTTTCGAAGGAAGAAAGTGATGGGTGTTACGGAGAATGAGGTAATACATGTACCAACAGCTAAAATGATTCCCAAGAAATGTTCTGCGTACAAAATTGTCAAAAAGTTTCCCTCTTTCCCTGGAAAAACAGGAAGAATCATTGTGAAAAGACTAATGGCAAAACCACGTCCACTTCGCATTCTGCAGGGAAATGAGGATGGTATGAGGGTCTCCATCGTTGCTAAAGAAGTAGCAAAACCTGATGGATATCGGATCATCAGTGTTAATAATCTTACTTCCTTTATAACAGCAATAGTATCTCATTCGATTAAATGTTTTTCATCAGGAACATTGAATTTATCGGGAGACTCTATCACTACTCATGCTGTCTCAGAACAATGTAAGTATGGTTTGGCAAGCACGTTAAGATTCAAATGCAAATGTTGTGGTGAAGACTTAGACCTCCAAACCAGTCCAATTCACCCAGGCTCTCAAACCCATGATATTAATATGCGTGCTGTATGGGGCTCAATGGCAACAGGTGGAGGGTCATCATCACTGAATGAATTATTATCAACAATGGGTGTGCCAGGAATGCGTTCAGATTTGTTTAGTTCATTAGAAACTACTATTGGTGATTCCTGGAGGGATTTGTTGCTGGAGGACATGAGGAAAGCAGGTGAAGAAGAGAAGCAACTAGCCATTGCCAGGAATGATTATCACCAGGGAATTCCTGCAATAACAGTGGTCTGTGATGGTGGGTGGTCAAAGAGATCTCACAGGCATACATACAACGCAATGGGTGGAGTTGGTGTAATCTTTGGTGCTGCAACAGGGAAACTTCTGCACATTGGAGTACGTAACAAGCATTGTTACATCTGCAGTATGGCAGAATCTAGAAACATGGTGCCAAAAGAACATCGCTGCTTCCGAAATTGGACAGAAAGTAGCCAAGCAATGGAATCCCATATTATTGTAGAAGGGTTTAGAAAAGCAGAGGAAGAGCATGGCCTACGATACATGCGATTCATTGGAGATGGGGATTCATCTGTATTTGCAAGGATACAAGAAGAAGTACCAGTATGGGGACGAGATGTTACAAAGCTGGAGTGTGCCAACCATGCATGTAAATGTCTAAGATCAAATCTTGAAAAGTTGGTGGATGAAAAACCACACTTCAAAGGTAAAGGTCGTCTCACTAAAAACACCATAGTAAGGCTGACAAAAGGGGTCAGATGTGCGATTCGAATGAGATCATCTGAAGGGAATAGACAAGAATCAGTAAGGAAACTCGCTCATGACATCAGGAACTCCGTTCATCATGTGTTCGGAAACCACGAGAATTGCAGTGATTTCTGTAAGAAAAGAGACCCGGTAAAGCCTACAGATTTACCAAATCCAGATTTGTCTTCGGTCCATGATGATATTGCTGCAGATATAAATGTTCCTGAAATAGCCGATACACTTGAAACGACATGGAAAGGCATAATGGAAGAAGATGGCCTTGAAGAAGCTCGATATGGTTATCCATCAGGGGATAAGATTGATCCAGAAATATTGAAGGATGTGAGTTTTTTGTTGCATAAGATGGCCAGTAAGAGTGAACGGTTGCTAGGAAATTTCACCACTAACTTGGCAGAATCATGGATGTTCATACGGTGCAAATTTGATGGTGGTAAAATTTTCAATAGATGTAATCGCGGTTCATGGCACTGCAGGTGTTATGGTGGAGCCCTTCGAAAGAATTTTGGAGCAGCATGGTCTCCAGTGGTGTGGCATCGCTTAACAGGTGTTCCTCCAGGATCTGCTTTTGCATTGCATTATCGCCAGAGAGCATTAAACATTAGTAGTTCCAAAAAATCAAAGAATAATCCTGATGTCAAAACTAGATGTTACAAAAGGAAGCAGACAACACATCAGCAAGCACATGCAAAAAAGGCGAAGAAGGAATATGGCTTAGAAGCTTTAGAGGCGACACCAGATGTGAGTCCTGAGGAATTGAAGACACTATGTGAGGACTACATAGAGAGGGAAATTGATGTTGAAGTTTCCTCCATAGAAGAGATAGAAAAAGCAACAGTTGGCCAATCATTTTCATCTCGTTGGGTAGAAGAAAGGAAAAAACGTTTGACTTCTTCATCTTTTGGCGATGTGATGAGTAGAAGTACTACCAGACCAGTTGGCCCATTGGTGAAAAGAGTAATATATCCAACTTTTGGTGGAAATGCCTTTACTAAGAGAGGATTGAGAGAAGAATCTGTCACTATAAAGGAATACATCCAAAAGAAAGAAGAATTGGGCTTGACTGTAACAGTTAATCCTTCAGGTCTTGTCATAGACAAAGAGCATAAATACCTTGCTGCTAGTCCTGATGGTTGTGTAAAGGAAGGAAAGGAGCAGGGCTTAATTGAGGTCAAAAATCTTCTTCAAAATAACCAGATTTCCTTTAAAGAGGCTGCAAAGAAGGGAAATTTTTGCCTGCAGGTATTTGAAGGAGGCCTCAGACTCAAAAAGAACCACAAATACTTCTTTCAGTGCCAGGGTTTGATGAATATTTGTGATGTCCCTTGGGTAGATTTTGTGGTTAGAAGAACTAATCCCTATCAAATGTATATTGAGAGGATCTATAGAGATGGGTACCTTTGGAAGAATGTTATGATTCCGAAGTTGTTCAGTTTTTATAGAAACTGTATGCTGCCAGAACTTGTATGTCCTAGATTGAATACAATAGCTGGCCTAAGAGAACCCAAAAAACCTTGGGTAAGTAAATTGTATACCATTTGAATTGATTTTGCAGCAGGTATTTCTTTGTGTAAGTAATTATAAAACTGGTGTTCTTTGTGTAATTATTCAGGAATAATTTAAAAACTTTTTCTTTGATGCCAGTCTTATTAAAATTATATGTTTATTCAGTCCACATATATCTTGGTAAGTACTCCACATTTGGTATGATATGTTGTCAGATCATTCATTATACCCCCCGCTTGAAAAGTGGTAGGGAATATACCCGGTAGTAATTGGGATTTTTTTCTTTAAATTGGATTGCTTTATTGCTTATTTTATGTTTAACCTGATAATCAATAAGAAGAAGACCTAAGTATTTATGCACATATATAAATTTGTTCTTTTACTTGTAGTTTGAATCAGTGCAGTGTGTCCAAAGTACAGGAAAGGGACAGAAGCTGGCAAAAAGGACTCTGAAAAGTAGAGCACAGGGAAATGTCCAAGAAACTAGTGTTCAACATGTTCAGAGAAAGACCCGGAGTGGCAGAATTCCAAAGAAGAATACAAAATACCTATAGAAAATAATTTTTCCAGGTGAATTAAAGTACTCAGCTGACCTTTTTCACTTTGGTAGTATAAATCATTAAATGCAGATAGTTTGAAGTGTGGTTTAATAAAAAAAATACAAGATTCTCATCCCCTCCCAAGGGGATTCTTTTTCCATTCTTCCATTTTTATAAATTTTTTATTCATTTTGAAATTTTATAACAATCTATACATTTTCAATCTCATTGAGATCGATATTCAACTTAACAATCAACTTTTTTTTAAATTTCAGGATTGTTAGAGTGATTTTGATGGCTGACAAGAAATGATGTATTTATTTCCTTAGGAAGTGTCATTGTGAAAGATTGGTGAGGATGCATAGTAATGGATATATGGGCATAATAGATAAAATGCACTGTTGATGAGATCAACATGAATGTATATACAGGGAATCATCATCAACTCAACACAATTTTTATTGGAATGTAGTGATAAATTGTACAAATTCTGATGCTAAAGAAAAGATGGACCATAGTAATTCAGGTGAGCATAGTGCCCCATGGATGAAATGGGGTCTATTTCAAATTGTGCATATCGTTATCATTAAACAAAAGTCTAAATTGGAGATGCATTTGGAAATAAGAGTTAACAAACAAGATACAGTAAGTAAACATGGAAAAACAAATTCATTAATCAGAGAAAAAAACTTGCATTTAGTGACATTTTTGTAACTGCTGAAATACTGTGAAATCAATAATTTTCATGGGGGTTTCATTTCGTGGTTTTCAACATGTTCAAGGCATGTCAATGAAGAGACCCATGATTTTATGTCAACCACGAAATGCATTTTTCACACATATTACTACTGAACAACTCATCAACCAGAAAATCAAATTCCCATGAATGACAGAACCAATATATTTTCCTCAAACAATGAAAATTTGACCAATGTGGCCCATGTTTCTCTTGTGATATTTTATGCCGAACCCAGGATTTTTTTTTTTATTTGACTTGAGAATGACTGTATCTTTTAAAAACATAAAGAATGATGTAAAATATTTGAAAATTTAAGCATTCTTCATTTCTTCAAATATGTACATGTATATGGGTTTAGTGGAGAACTAAACTATGCAAACTGCATATAAAAAAATAAGTAACAACAGATGTTTACCATAAATCCAAAAAATTTTTTCTGTAGATGAATTTTTAGCAAATTTGCGAGTTCAATGCATTGGCAAAAATATTTTTCTTAAAAATAATAACTAAAGAAAATGTAAACAAAGCAGTGGTCATTCGCAAAATTTTGAAACGTGAAAATTAATCAACAGCATTTTGAAGCGAATTGGCAAAATAAAGTAAAAAGAAAAATTTCCAGATTTACGGTATGTAATTTTGTAGCCCTTGCTTCCAGAGAAGTAAAATTTTCCAATAGATTAACTTGCGTATATGTAGACATTAATGCTAGCCTTTAAAATCTGTTTTGAACCTAGGTGAATTTTACAACATGGATAATTCAATGTTTTTGGTGCATGCTTTTGTGCACATGAGTGAAGATATGTTCTTTGTTTGGTCATAAAATTATTGATTTTAACTGTCAAGGATAGACTGCATCTTACAGGAAACTTAAGGTGAGAACTTCAACATGTGTGATGTGGCAACTTTCAACCCGAGACATTTTCAAGGCAGCACTACAGGTGGGGTCATAGAGAAGGGGAACTTTGACCTGTACTGGAGTGACAAAAGAGGCTGGGGAGGGGAATCCCGTGAACCCCACATTTATTCAGATGGATTCAGGCTTCTTTGACCAGGTCAACTATTATGAGAGGTAAACAATAAAGTGTACCCAATCTGATGGTATTTTTTCTCTGACATTGGCACAATACAAATATAAAAGAATGAATATTGATTTTTCAGTTGTCAGAAAATAATGAGTACTGTTCGTTGATTTTGCTTCTCATATTTCATTAGCGTAAACAATCCTATATATAAAATACTTGCTTAATATATAATATTATAGATGATAGAGTAATGATCATAAACAGAATTACAAAAATATTGTAGAATAATCTTGACTGTAATAAACTTTAATGATAAGATGTATGATACATGTACTGATAGATATGTTAAATATTCATTTTAGAAAATATTATGTAACACATATTTAAATTCATTTCTATGTTTAGGTATGATGCCAATGCTGATGGAGACATTTTCTCAAAGTTTGATGTCTGACATTTTGTCTCAGATATTAGAAGATGACAGCTCCATAAAGTTTATGCATTTAATCACAACCTGAAAAATCTTCAGCTCTCATTCAGCCAAGGGAGTAATGGGTAAGCATATGTAATTAAGACAAAAAAAAACAACAAATGCAATGATTAACACACAAATGATTTGTATCCAGTCCAGTATTTAAGATAAGTACCTTTAATGAAATGCTTTAAACGGATCGAATAATAACACATGTTCAGGATTCTCTGTCAGCAAAAGTTTTACCATAACTTTTGAATGGTTGAAACTTATACCTTCATATTTCACAAAATTATGCTCAAACTTCATGGTGTCACAAACTCATGTTGTCTTTTTGAGGCAAAGGAATTTTTTATTATTGATGGATCATTTCAGTTCTCTGAGTGTCCCCTCCACCCCTGGCAGTGCCTGGTCTGCAGTGACAGATGAGATGCCACCCAAGTCACAGGACAACACGTTTGAATTGAGCCTTCCTAGTAACCCAGACTTGTCCTCCATTAGCAACAACCTATTAAATTTCAGCTCCGATATCTTCCTAGAGGATTTAGAATCACTGCCAGCCAAAACAGGCAGACCAGAAATTGAGCTAAAGTCCAAAAAAAGCCTGAAAATCTGGCATATCTGGATAATCACTGAACAGAAAATTTTCTCAGTATGCCAAGACTCAGAACTTATCACAGGGAAATTTTGACAAGACTCACCTCCCAAAGTTTCTCCTCGAAGTTCACCCACCTTTGGTTTTTTTCACCCAGCAGTTATCATAACTTGAAATCATAACCAATGAATTCTCCAAATATCTTGGACATTGTAACCTTGAAGCTCCAGTAAACAGGGAAATTTGTTGCATGCAGGAGTTGGAAATTGTAGTGAGAGTTTTCAGACAATCAAGACAGGGGACAGTAAAAATGTACTACAGTCAATCTGAGTCGGCACCCTAAATACCATGAGTTACCAGAGATGTGCTGCTTCAGGGCAGAGCACTACTGTATCACTGAATGGGAACAACTTCCAGGCATTTGAAAGGTCTTGTCTTCAGTCACCAGTGCAAAGAAATTCACTGTACAATCCAAACCTCAGATCAGGCCACAGGTAAGAGTTTGAATGATGTCAATGAAAATTGCACCATACTGATATTACTTTACATGTATTTAACAGATTGATTCTGAGAACCAGAAGGTCTGTGTTGTACATATGAGGTCAAATTTTGAAAGTCAACTTACAGCTACTATATACAGTGGAGCCTCATTTATCTGGACACTTTAGTTCTTAGTCAATTTTTCCGGATATGTAAAGCATCCAGATATCTGAATTGCCACTTAAACAAGACAACATAACTTTGAAAATTCCGTCTTGAGGAAAAATTTCTGGATACTGCAGCATCCGGATATCTGTGGTCTGGATACCTGAAGCTCCATTGTACCACTATTAAAAATAATTTTCCATTAACTTGATTTTGCTCAGATATCTGAGATTATCAAGATTGTAAATTTTCTATAAGTTGTGTCTTATTTTGGAAAAATGAATGCTTTCAAAAGAGATTGTATGGAAATTATGCTCTGCCTTGTTGACTGCTCAGCTTAAAATCTAAAAGAATGGTTAAGATGCTTATGGTGTAAAACACTTTCACTAAAACAATATAGAAGATTGGGTAGTTATCTTATAAAATCTGTTTGTCTTAAACACTGTGTCGTATCATGTACAGGAAATTTCCCAGCTGTCAGCTTCCTACCAGTCTGTGTTACCCGGGGGTAAACCTCAGACAGGGAGACCTAATGCTCACATCTCTCAAGCCTTAAGCTTTAGGCAGAAAGTGGCCAAAATGACCCTCCCAGCTCTACCTCAGCCAACCCTGAAGTCAAATACACACACCAGATGACGGACAAGCCACACCTACCACCTTCAGCCAACCCCCACTCTCTATCACAAACAACTCTCCAGGGATAAACTGTCAATGCAAGACTTTCAAACACCAGGTATTTATTAACTGTTCACATTGACAACAAATCTAATTTGTGCATGTATGTACAGTATTATCATGTTTAGCTCAGTTGAGCTTTATGATCACAGTTTGTCCATCTGTGGACTGTCTGTCTTGCTGTCTGTTTGTCTGTAAATGTTTCACATTTTTGACTTCTCAAGAACCACTACACCAATTTCAACCAAACCCATCTTTTAGGATCAGGACAACTTATGCATATATACTGCAATAATTTTCACTTGTTTCTAGTCGCACTTCTCAGGTGAGTGATGTGGCCCATGGGCTTTTTGTCGAGATAGGGTTCCATGTCAAAGAAAATACTTTCCAGGTTAACATTGTTTAAGTTTCTACAAAATATCACTTGTTATCCACTAATATTGCCAGGTATCATTATTGAGTTGTAATTACAGATTAAATGTGGATGTGGAAATGATGTCTATATATCCAGGTCCCTGATATCCTGTATTTGGTCATCAGAACTGTGCCACAGTACCTGGAAACTTGATAACTAGAGGATATTGAGTAGGTATGCAGAAGATTTCTGTCCCAGGAATCACATTTTTATCATGAAAAATCACAAGCTCTTTTTAGCTTATCTCCATCCATATGTAAACTTTACATTTTCTACTTTTTTTCAATTAACACTGAACCAGGTTGAAACAAACATACCACAATTAAAGCATTATATGGTAAAGGGAAGTTAAGTTTGTTCAAATGGAGGTCCAAGCCATCTTTTAAGGATCAAGGAGAAATTTAAAAATTAATGAAAAATTATATGTGCTACTTCTCAAGAACTACTGGGCCAAAAAAACTTGAAAGTTATGTAACCCCATCATTACACATTTTAGATTCAAATGCAATCAAATCATGACCCCTGACAGGTATGTTGGAGTCACAATGGAGATCAAAGTTTTTCTTAGGAATATCACAGGAAAAAAATGTTCATGTAGTGAAGATTCAAGTTTTTCAAAACCATAATTAGTCATTTGAGTATGGAAGCATTGTCAGTTAGTATAAGTTCAAAATAATTGAAATCATGACATTTGGCTTAGGGTGGGGTCATCAAAGTTATAAATTGGAATACATATGAAATACTGTATATAGGACAAAAGATATTGATGATGAATAGACTCAATGAATTATGTGGTCCATGGGCTTGTACTTGTTGTGTCAGATCTAGTATTGTGTTACATGTATATACATGTACATGTATATTTTACTTAAAGACCTTCTACCTACAACCTATAGTTGTGTATAGCTAATATTTTCAGTTTTGAGAAATATTTTCTTTAAAATCTTAAATATTTATTTGCAGACTGATCATATTTCTTTTGAAAGTTAAAGGGCCATTCATTCATAGTACTTTTAAAGTGTATGAGAATTTTTTTGTATATTTTACTCTTAATTCTCTCTTCACTTTGTCTTATATTTTTAGGTTTTCGGTTCCTCCGTTTGCACTTTGTAGAGAATCAGTTGGCTTTTGGCACAGTAATCTTTGTTGTACTTAAGGGGAGTAGCATTACAGTTACACAAGGGAATAAGATGAAGCAGTGCTGAATTAGGTTTAAGGAAATGAACTGAAAGGTTAGTTGTGTTTTCACTGATTTACAGACTTCAGAAATACCAGGCATATTTGCATTTATTTTTGACCCATTTCATGTATAAGATGATAATACATTAAAACTGGCAGAAAGGAATCATTGTGAAGAATTAAGCAAGAGAGTGATATGCAATTCAGGTCTTTGATAGCCACCTGTGCATTATTTTTTCAACGCATGTTTGGAATTTGTTTATTTTCAATTAAATCACCTATTCATTCATATTTTCTCTCTCACTTTTTTTTGCAGAATTTAGTGGAACAGTTTATGGATTTGGATAAAATTCTGTTGGGAAAGTTTACACAAAAGCAATTTTCTAAAAGGATGCCGAGGACAGTGGACAACACGAATACAGCTTTAAAACAATTAAAAACTGGAAGGCAAAGCCCATTTCTTGGTTGACTTGTCAGTGATTTGAATATGGAATAGTCCCTGTCAAGTCATTGTCAAGGCATCATTTACCTTGAAACTGGAAAAGACTTTATCTTACATGCTTTCGTTTCTGTGGTCATATTACTTTCAATGTTTCATATCTTGAGAATAACTCTGCCAGTGTGGATGATGATATGGAGTCTCTAGTTTTAAATGTTCATGTGAACTACATCCATATGCATATTTTTACTGGAATTCTGTTGTGAATAGTCATGATAGTGCATATCCTTTCTATATTTCTCTATTTCATATGAATGTTTGTGTATTTTATTTTTTTTTTTCTGAACCAAAAAATAAATGTTTTTGAACATTATTTTAATGTTAGAGGAAAAATAAATGTAAAGAACTGTGTAGAGTTCTATCAGGAATGTACATACAACTATATACTTTATTCTTCACATCTTAGGATAAAACTTGTAACTTACCGGATTATTTTTTCATACATGTATTTATTCCATTTTTAGCGTACCTGAGCCAAAAGCTCAAGTGAGTTTTTCTGATCATATATTGTTTGACATTTGTCAGTTCGTAAATTTTTAACAATTTAGACTTTTTCTCAAAAATCACTGTGCCAAGAAAGATTTCCTTATGGGGAAACATTCTCAGATAGTGTAGAATCAACTTTGTTGAAATTATGACCCCTGGAGGTAGGGTTGGGCCACAATGTCTGACCAGAGTTTTACATTGGAATATATAGAAAAAAAAATTCAAGGACATCAAAGTCATAATTTGTATTTTAGTTGGGCAGGAGGGGGGGGGAGGGCAACAATGTCAGATCAAATGAAAAGGTAGTAAAAGAAATATGCAAGCATCTTTAGTAGTGTAGATTCAAGTTTGTTCAAATCATACCCTCTTCTTCTTAAGGGATAGCTGGGAGTACTATTGGGTTTAAACTTTTCAATAGTAAACTGCATGGCTTTTGCTTCTTTTCCTAGCTACAGTGCTCAGGTGAGCAATGTTGCCCATGGGCCTCTTGTTTCTTTCAAAGAGTGACACACAATTTCCAATTATTTTTATGTGTGAATATGCCTTTTTTTTTTAATTTGTTGTTAGCTCTAAATAGAATCTCCATCACTAGTTTTTAGCTTTACTGGTCAAAGATTCATATTTCTGTTTATTGTTGGTTTTTTTATTTGATTTTGATGAAATGTGATGCCATGCTTAACAAAAATAGAAAATTCTTTAAAATAATTTTTAAATTGCTACTCCTCCAGCTTTTGTCTGATTACAACAAATTTTGTCAAGAAGAAGGCTATTAACAAATGATAAATTTTCAATGTTTGCTGTTGCAAAGTTTCAAGTTCAAATGCTATTTTTCGCTAGTTTTGTTACAAGTTTAAACCAATAGAGCTGCAGTCTCATCAGAAACTTCTGGTTAAATAGTTTCTAAGTCAATAACATGAATATTGGTCCTTACATGTATCAAATAGGTGAATAACTTCTATGTATTTTCAAAATTATAAGATTTTATGGATGAGAGGAAACAATTTTACTATTTTGATTGATGAAAAATGAACAGTTAGGTTTTGTTTGTATGTTTTTCTTTTTTCATTGTGAATTATTTCTCATGATTTTTTTTTTTGTGGTCATATATTGTGTATATGATGTCAAGTGTATATATATATATATATATATATATATGTTTTTAAAAAAGATATACATTGTACTTTTGTGAATGTGTGTAAATATTGTTCAAATTTATTTATTTATTGTTATGAAAAATAAATAATGCAAATATCATTTAATTTTTTTATCAACAGTTTTTATTTGTAAAGGAAAGGGTATTATAGGTTTCATTCCTAATGAGATGGACATCCAAAGATGACATAGAACATGTTGAACACACTGGTTTGCAGGAGAAGTGACTTCTGTTGTACAAGCATTTTAAATTCTCTTATTCACATGTACCAAGGTATAATTATCGAATGAGCTTTGCTCCAATTAGCCCCATTTACAATAAGTGCAGTACTACTCTTTTGTAGACCAGAATGGTATAATTTGCTGAAAATGTAGAAGCAATTGTTTAATAAACATAATTTAGTTATATGTAATCTAAAACTTCTCCAAACATGGTTAAATTGTCCCGCAAAAGAGTTTTACTACACTTCCCATGAAAAGGATAATATGCTCCTCAGCATCAAGACACAAAATCTGGATTTACATTTGTAGCATTCATCATTCATGTTATGAATTTCATATAATACAGCTCAATGGTCATTAAATTGCAAGAACCATTATTCGTATGAAAAAAATATGGATGGGATTTTAGAAATAAATTTTAATAGCTACTCGAGTTAAACTGTATAATCTGCGTTGGAGCAGTTGACACTTGATCAACCGCAAACCTGTTAACCTGTTCCAACCCAGGTTATATCAATGATCATCTTGGGAAGCTATTAAATTCATTCCTTATAATCTAATTCTCAATCATTACGTACAGAAATTATATATGAACAACTATTATTCAAAAATACCTTAAAATTGTACATGTGTATTTTAAATATTATCCTCGTGACATAGGCAACATAACTTTTGTTATACGATATATTTATATCATATATTATACAAAAAAAATTCATCCAATCTAATGAATTATTACCATCCAAATTTAATCATATATGAAGATTAACAGTTAAAAGTCAGTTGAATAAATAGGATTAGGATAAGGTATTTTTATAGGTAATAAAAACAATTAATGTTCTAAAATAGACAATAAAAATCAGATCTTCAAAAAGGGTCAATAAAAAAGGAAGAAATACATATTTATTTACATTAAATTTTATGAGCTGTTTATGGCGGTTTGGATTTTTAAGTTTCTTTGAAATGATCATGATCTTATTTTTTAATTACTTTCCTCTTTTATCACCTGTTTTGATTCCTCATTTCTTTCTCACAAATTATCTCTGTAAAATTACATCTAATTTATACTAGTAAATATCTGTAAACACTTCAAGAGATGGAGCATTTATATTTGTTCTATTATTATTTTTAATGTTTTAAATATAGAAATATAGCCATAACGTTACTCCATAAAAACACGAGGTCTAAGTATAGAATGGATTTTGTCTTGTTCTAAATATAGCTCCGTCGCTGACTGACACGGACTACTTTCATGATTTATGGCACTCATTTGATGGAAAGGGTACCCCACTTTGAGATAAAATTACAACTTTATTGTGTAAGATTCAGCTGTTTTCTCAACAAATGGTTGTAGCCTGAACAACAATCTTCACCTTTCATATTTTTTCAGATTTTTAAATCCTCTATTGAAGTCTGCAGTTGCGCAGTTCTGAAGTGCACATCAAAGTCATTTTTTGTGCACGTGAGTGCATTTTATGTAGAGGACCACTTGCAAAACATCATATTTATAGCTTTCTAACCGTTTGGACAACATTTTAGTCAGTGTTTGGCAAAAACGAGTCAGTTTCAAGGAATGTTTACTTTCGTCTCTGATAAGTAAAAGATGGCCGTACATCCCCCTTAAATAAAATTGATGAAGATACATATTCCTCTACGGTAAAGAGATATCTTTATTTGCTTGAGAGACACCTCTTTTTGACAATTTTTTAAGATATCTCTTTGACTTTAAGATATATATCTTAAGGTAAACGTAGAGACATGTCTCTTTTACCTTGAGGGATATCTTTTTAACTTGGAAAGATATCTCCCAAAGTAGAAAAGATGACCCTCAAAGTAACAAAGGTATCTCTCTATGTGAAAAAGATATATCTCTAGGTAAAGAGATATCTCTTTTATCAAAAGATATATTTCTCAAGGTGAAATATAATTATATCTCTATAAATGGAAGAGATATCTCTCCCAGTGTGAGAGATATCTCTCCAAGAGAAAGAGATATCTCTCTATGTGTAAAAGATATCTCTTTAAGTGAAAGAAATATCTCTTTTTTTGAGAAACATCTCTTTAAGAGAGATATATCTATTTTAAAGAGACATCTCTCTTAAAATTAGAGATATCTCTGTAATTTTAAGATTAATTCTATTTTCCGAATGAATTGCAAATCGACTTGCCATACAAACAGGTATTTCTTTGGTATTAATGTTCATTTTATTTGGTAATGAGAGGGTTCCTACACCGAGGAACAAAAAGTTATCTGAAAACGAACAGTTTGATTTATGATTTCTATAAATGTATTGTATTTAGCGAGCATGATACTTGGCGAATATTGAGTTTTGGACAAGTTTAAGAACATGTTCATGACACCGGGCGTTGTACTTTATTTAGCAGAAGTTGCTTTTCGCAAAAGGCGCTAATGGGAATACACAATTCAATGCAACATGCTTACAGTATGTTTCTTATAAGTCTTTATTCACATTTGCATTTTGTTTACTTTCATTTAATGTTTTATACAATGGATGTTCTTTTACTCCTTCAGAATTCAACACTTTAATTCAACAAACTATTCTTAAATTTGTTTTGAAAAACAAAAACAGAAACAAAACTGCATACTTGAACAATCTTAAAAATAAATTGACATCATGCCAACTTTTGAACAACGTTTTTTTTTTTGCCCTCTGTCGGCTCACGATGATAATATTGTGTCACTGAGTAGGGGAATTTTCCCCCAAAATTACATTTATTGTGAATTTTATTTTTTTTTACCAGTATAAGAGAGAGAGAGAGAGAGAGAGAGAGAGAGAGAGAGAGAGAGAGAGAGAGAGAGAGAGAGAGAGAGAGAGAGAGAGAGCAGTCAACCTTTTTAAAATATTCACGACTTTTTATTTCAATATAAAACATGTTTATCGTTCATACATGTATATGTATATGTGAATCTAAAATAAAGAGATCCTTATTACCTTCAGCATTGCAGGTGATACTTGATGAACTTATTTAAACCCTAATACAAAATGGAATGGCCACATCTGCATCAGGGATCATTCGAGGCAAGTTTCACGGGTATTAACATACATAATATACCTGTAGTAACAAATACGTGACTGTTTTTTGTAATCAATCTAAATAATTTATGCAACATTTGTGCATTTCAAAGTGGAAACAAATCATTATTTACATTAAAGTGGGTCAGATTTCTCATCGTGGAAACAGTTTGAAATGCGTCTTCTATAATTGTTTTATAGAAAATGAAAAAAAAAATGTATGAAAAACAAATTTTGTTTGAGCAATACACCCCGAACATCCTATCCCCTCCACCCCTTTCATTGTTTCTTTTTTCGCTTTACGTAAAGCTAAAAATTATCTACTGTGCATAGAATTCATAAATTTGATTTGGGTCATAAATAAAGATTTTTCGGAAAAATCGTGGACTTCTGTCATATGTTGTTTTTTTTAAATTTAAAAATCATATCTGTTCAAAATTTTGTAGAAATCATCAAACGGTAAATTTAAATTATTTGTATTAAAATTTAGAATAATTTTACAAATATTATGATTAATATTAAACTGATATAGATTTAGACACTGCTAAACCTGCTGCGCAGGTCAAAAAATTGTAATTTACAAGCACTACACTAGATAATGTCTGAAGTCATATTCTTCGTAGTGTAAAATCTGAAAATGGAGAGAAAACGAAAAATTCCGAAACGTTTGATATTTAAGAACTGTTACATTGATTAATATTCCAAGTTATGGCTTAATATTCTGCTTCGTTGAAAGATACAGTAAGTAGTCCTCCTTGAAACTGAGTAAAAACTACGATTTGGATATCATGGAGCAGCATATAACGATGTAATTTTTGTTATTATACTTTGGGAAAATTCTGCTTGAAGTCTAAAAGTATTAGAGGGATCAAAACATATTTTTTAAGTGAGTAGTACATGTGTGTGTAAATGGTACGGACAGTATTTTAGTGACAGAGACTGTACTGGACAGACAATATGTAAAGAAACGGTTTAATAAAAGTTGGGACGTCATGGAAGGCGTAGTCGTTTCAGAATTGCTGATCTTGTGAAAGCAAAGTTAAGCAGCAAATGAAATTAATTCATTGACAACAGAAAACAATTGTTGAAAAAATAAATGTCAAGTGATCGAAAAAATGTTTTTAATGAGTGGGTATTGGATTAAACTGTGTGAAATGTAAAGGGATATTACTTTTGAGAAAGTCTTGAAGATTTGTTTTGACGTCACATTGCAGTTAAGTATGGTCCGTGGTTACAAAACATGTTGAGTATGAAGTCAGATGATACAGACAAACTTTTGTCATTAAAATAAAATGAAGACTTGAGTAATAGTAAAATGAACAAGTTTAACCGTGCAGTTTTATTTATTTTTTTTTTTCATTAAAAAAATTAATAATCACAATAAATGGATTTATACAAAGTAAAAATAATTTTAAAAAATCGTATAGATTAATACGAATGGTTGCGGAAAGGTAGAAGTTTGAACGTCGTAGAATTTAGAAATTTATTTGTCGCATCATTTGCAGCAAGAGTATACCCAGGGATATACACAAATCCAGGCCTCCATATTTTGTTTGTATCATGTCCTTAAATTGAAGTTAATTGATTTCTTTCAAATGGAATCGAATAAAAGTTCAAACATTAACAAAACAAAAATTTTTACAAATGATATTTTGAATTGATTATGAATGAAGAATAATGAACTTTTCGAAAATGAACAATCCTCGTTTACTACAGTCATTTTTTTTTACTTAA